AAACAATTTCACAGCAGCAACGAAGTTTTCTTCTAGGAATACATTTTTTCAGTTAGGTAATAAAAACATATTTTAAGTACTTAATGAAGTTTATTGAGAAAAAAAAAACGATTTTTCATCATACCTCAGCTCCCTCAGCCAACATTAAAAATTTTTCAATTCTGTAAATTGTTTTGAGCTCCAGTTTTCAAGTCGGTTCAATAGATACCCATATTAGTAAGTTTTACAAATTTTCAATTTTCACAACACTAAGGATTTTTATCGTCAAACCTCATTTGATGGGCAGATTTTTTTAATTTTGTAAAAAAAAAATTTATAAACATGCCTTAGAATTCCAAGTGGGATACTATTTTGCTTCTGTATAATGATTTAAGAAAAATTGCACAAGCTTTCACACCCCTGCCCTAGGGGGGAATAATAGAAAACCTTCACTTAATGATGCTCATCTTAAATTAACATTTCCCAATTAGGCAATTTAGACCTACAATACAAAAACTTCTTAACATTTCAATTTTTCTACACCTTTAAAAACAACACAGTAGGGATAAATTATGTTCATGAGTGATTAGAATGCCTCAATAAACCACATAAACATACGTAAACTAACCTTTAAGCTTGACAGATCCTGTGAAGGGAATGTTGAAGAGCAATTCCTCATCTGCATCTGATTCAACCCATTCGCGTCTATCCAACCTTGCCTCGTAGGGTTTAAACACTTTCTTCCCAGACTCTTCCACAGCCTCGTTTAGACAGCTCAGCTGATTCAGGTCTATCCTCTACAACAGAGTACTATAGGGTTATTAACACTATTCTCTGACTTACAGTGGTGGGAGACATAGGGACTGCCAGACGATAAACGAAACTCCTTTATTGGGAGATCTCACACATCTCACACTACTCAGTATCATCCAAGAAGGCTCTTGACGTAAACTTGATGACGCCACAATCTGTGCATCAGATTCTTCTTCAGGAGTTAAATTCGCGAACCTGCAGTATTTCGATAACTCGCACAACCAGGGGCTTTTGTCGGGAATTTGTCCAGTGGGAGGCTTTAAATTATTTTTTTTCTTAGGGAGGAGCTCAGCACCCGATGGGGCCCAAAATCCCTCTGAAATCCATAGATTTTCTTGGTTCATTGAGTACGCCTCTGCACACAATGCATGTACCACAAGTTTACAGTTGATTGTCAAAGGATGAGGTAAGATGAGAGGAGAACACTTTGTGATAAGTTAGTTTTTTTGCTCACTTGAACTATATTGGAAGATATACAACAATCTTTCACATGCTCTTGGACCAAGCTCAGCCCAGAGCCCGCTCTTACACAATAATGTATTAACTGTGGTTGCGTTGTCCTCAGACCTCGAAGAAGTTGACTAATTGATTACGCTGGAGGTATATTCCTAGAGAATGATTGATAGGAGG